AAGAATAAACTTCGCACTTTGGCTATCCAGAAATTTACCGTATATTGGTTTCTATCACCATTTGTCGTAAGCTATACATGCGGATGCATCGCATTAAGTGTCCGCTTCCACTGCTTGTTCTGCTCAGATAACTGTGGATGGCAATTGTATGGGAGCACCGGGAGCTTTTCTTTTAAAGGAGATGGAAAGAAGAATGCCTTGTGCATTTGGAGAATCAGTGGTAACATGGGAAATCAAATTCATCTTCGTATCACCAACTTGAAAGTGAGTCATATGTTGTAACCGATAATTATAATCAAGCAATTCTTCAAAAACCCACTTTTTTGAGAATATCCAACGTCTTGTCTCCGAGTTAGTCTACAGCAAGGTAAATGCTTTGTTTCAAGTAACAGTCTTTTTCAACCACTTCCAACACTAGATATGCAATGTTATTAAAATGATCGTGATGTGCTCTAAACTGCAGTGTTCTGAAATTCTCTGTATTAGCTGGATTCCAAATTTTCCTGGCTGCGTGTTTTGGATGGCGACAACTGTGGGGCCCGGGAACTGAAACTGGTAGACACTACAGTGGAGTTTAGTCCATTCAACTGTACCTCTACCTCGACCACAATGACGGTTGTATTTGCTTCCGCGTGGGGTTCAGAAAATGCGGAAGTCGCGGCATCCTTTATAGACAGTAAGTATTTCTGCCATCCGTTGACCCGAGGGGGAAATTTTTGTCAACCCAAAAGAAATTTTACCCGCACTCATATGTACAAATCTTAACTCGCTATTAGACGCTTTAGCCCTAATTACACATAACACTGCTAGTAACGAATATCTCGAGCAAAATCATGAAATCGTCAAAGGTGTGGAGTGCCCTGTGTCAACCAGCATGATCTGACGACAAAAGTAGGATACACACTCGAGGACCGTAGGTGATATTCACATTAATTGATGGAAACTTTGAAATGATTGCTCTTCAGTTTATGACATAAGCATTCAGATATACTAAAATTTGAGTTTGCCAAGAGAATTGTTTGCAACTATCCAGGTTACCTTAACAAGTTCATAGGTTCGCGACAAAGACTATCACCAAACAGCATAGTAATTAGTCATCAAAATCAATGCATTCGGCAAATTGTCGGTAAGGCGGATGGCAAATAAACAATGATTGAGGTCACTATATCTCTTAGATGGTTGTTAGGAAACAAAGGTGAATAATTACCTCTGTAACATAGATCAAATAGATGACCTACAGAAGTAGTTTGGGCGATGTACTGAGTAACGTTTGCGTAGAATTTCCCATCGGTCAGTGCGCATTTTCGCGTACCGTCGATTTGACTTGGAGATGAAAGAAGCTCAGTGACAGCATCTGTCTTCTGCTGTGCAATTAGCATATCATCAAGTAGCAGTCAGCTCTTACTTTCACTGTAATGGTATTGACTACGTTTGTATTCGTAATCTCGAGAAATGCGTTGCATAAGCCTCCCAACTTCTTCTACTGTGCATAGACACAACCAGCATTAGGAGGTGATATACCTGAGTTTACTGGTTGAGTGGGTGATACAGAAAACCTGTACGCATCATCCTGGGCGCATGATATATAAGTTTACTATGTGATTTCAAACACCAATATTTAATTTATTAATCGGCACAGCTCATCCACGTGATTTATTGCAAATGCAGAAAATCGTAATTAATCGTGCTATACAATGCTATAATTTTTGTTATATGCAGTAGCAATCTTACCCGACAAACTCTTATATCGGTCATCCGCGATACCATTGTCTTTATTATGCATCCTATACTCCGGCTTATTCGTGTAAGGTTATTATGCTACCACCCTGGTATACGTGATCGGCCAATTTCTACGTAGGTCATAGGGGACCTGAGGCAAATAGCTTCGAAATGAAACGGTAGATGTCTAGATTTGGAACAAGGTATGATATTTTAAGGGGGATCAGACGATTCAAAGCTACAAGCACAGCATTTGTATTAAATAGCCAGACATTCACTATTTCTACACGGGAGAAACCGGTTTCAGTCCTAATGCTTTTAATTACCAACTACCTGAACATAGTAATCTGAAACCAAACGAAAAAGTACTTACTAAATTAGAGCTACGAAAAGTACAATGGCTTGTCCAATTTGGCTATAGGTGTACATTTTCAGTGTAAACCTGGGCAGTTGTGTGGAAAAATACAGTGGACAGATGTGTTGGGTTGACCTACTGCGTGCTATCCGTTCAGTATAGTGCTGAATATAAAGTGGATAGCTTAGAGTTCATGAGATCTTTACATGTAGGAAAAAAAACAAACCGGATGCACCAATAATTTGCCAATTTCGCCGACGAAGAAAGGACAACCTATCGGCATCAATTAACACAAGATCGTCAATCTACATGTAAGTGCGGTCAGCCGAATTGATAGGGTATTAAATTCCAATGTGATGCAATATTTGTGTAAATGGGTACTACGGAAGGTGACCAAATCCTTCGCACCCCATGCGTACACACACCGCATCTGGCTGCTTCGTTGGTGCGCAACTACAATCCACCTGTCATCGACTGGATCAAGTCGGAATGCTTAGTATCGTGTTGAGTTACGCTAATGCTCACTAGTTGCATGTTGCTAAGACCACCATTGAGATCAAATGCATGAAGTCCACATTAAGTTCAAACAAGAGCTTTTCGTAATGCATTTTTTAATCCTTATTTTGTCATGGAAAGAGAGTTGTCACATTTGTCCGTCACCCCAACTTTTAATTTGCGCGGCCGAATGCCACCTTTTGTTCGGTGGGCCCTAAGAAGACAAAAGGAAAGGTCTACATTGACCCGTTTGCATCTGTACGCGCTTATTCAAATTTTTAAATGAAAACGACTGTTTCGAATGGCAATTGTTGAACATTTTTGGAAGGTTGGACATAATGGCTGCTATGTTACACTAATGTTGATTGATGTAAGTGAATAAACTGCCACTACGAATCTGTGGCAATCCAAGATGGTCGGAACATCTGGACGATAATCATCGAGACTAATAAAATTACGTGTCTCAGCAGAATATAAGTAGCGTTCTTTAACATCAAAGCGCCTTCCTCGATTTAATCATTCGACGCGTAATAGCATTAAGCTCTGTTACTTTATGGGAAGCTATCATAAAGTGTTTGAAAGGATCAGCGATGAATGTTTCTCGAGGACTAAACAAAGTCTCAGATTAGTTTGTCAGCTAGCACAAGTATTTCCCAAAGTTCCGGTGTTTGTTTGTGGCTCATTTCTAAGTACTTCCCGATGTTGTTAACAAGCGTAACAAGTTCCTAATTTCGCGCGTTGTCCAGAATGAGTATAAAGCACTGACATATCTTCAAGATTAGTGCAGGCAAGATAAATTGTTAAGTATTGTTTGAAAATTGCAATTCCACAGCAACAGCATTAAAGCTTAAATCCAAAGGGGAAAAGCAAATGCCAATGTAAATGCTTCGTCAAATGACGCATTGAGGATGAAACACAAGCCCGTATACAAAAAAGCAAACTTTAATTCCAGAGTTTACCCTCATTTCTTAAACTCTCTTAGTAGTTGAAGATCGTTCGCTCTATGGAACCGCTACAATTTTTATCAAAACTTGAAAGTATTTAGCCAAAAATTGAGCATGCGTTATTCTATAAATAATATAACCCCTTTGTGAATAAAGTTTGAATTTGGGGGCTTCTTTAAACTGCTCCACCTTTCATTATCTTCCCTGTTATCTCCATTCCATCTTAGCTTATACACTGATGTATCGTTCCTAATCAACTTGAACACTAACGTCTTCGCAACTGCAGCGCTTCGTTTGCTCGCCAGATGAAGGTGCTCAATGTGGAGAACACTGCCTTCCCATGTTTGTGTGTCATTGTCTAATCTGTTATTTTCTACCTGTTTTATTTGACATACCCGAATACAGTTTATCCAAGTGCATTACTTAATCATAAGCCATTACTTCATGTTGTACCCTTCTTTGACAAGCGTACCAAATAGAATGTATGGGATGCGTTTGTGTTGTACCAGAACGATAACGAACACAGGAAAGATGACTGCATGTAATTCGGTGCATTCCTTAGACAGGTTTCAGTCAACTAAGCGTTAAATCGCATAAGGTCGATGAGAAATGAGGACCGTTTTGATGTATTCAGCTGTGGCATAACACATTTTACCTTCGTAGGATTTGGAACGCCCGGGGTGAATTCTGAATTGTTCTCCTTTCTCGACATTGCACAAATATATACTGGTCACGAAGTATGAATTCTCACAGCTTTACAGATTCGTGGATTTGTGTGAATACATCAAAAAGTTTGTATAAACAAACTTATTTGACCTGGGAATGATTCGGTACAAGATTTTGCTTCTTTGGTTACAATAAGAATTTACAATGGCATATGGTTAGTAACTTAGTTTAGCATCACTCTGCCAGGAGCAAAGATTAGTTTGATAATAATTGCAGAGCAGATGGTCGATGGTAGACACACCATGCTTGTTTCCGCAACGTTTATATGTTAATGCTGAACACGTTTGGTAAGAAGCGTAGTCAGGTTTCTAAAATACCTTAGTCGCAGCTGTCATTTTATATCCCGCCCCGTAAACGCGTGATTGTCTTGTCGAACGGCTATAGATGCTTTACAAAAGGGCGATTAATAGCCGAAGTGTTGGACAATGTCTTCTGCATTTTATACTTTCCACATAACTAATGTGAGCTGATTTCTTGCTTACCAACAACGGTCTTCTGCCATGCGGCCACACTCGGCGGTCCAGCTTCAATTGAAGTCACTCTAATGATAGTTGTTTCACATTTTGAAGGTGTGGGTATTCAAACTATTTCGAGTAGAACTCAATATCTCTTGTTTCTAAATTGTGTATACCATATTGGTTTTCCAGTTCGCAGTGCTGACACATTCTTTGTCGGAACCCAGGTATACAACAACAACATTCATCATATCTTAACTAATGAGGTTTGTCGTATTTTGAACAAAAAGCTGAAGGTTATCTAACCATTCTGTAAACATCTCTGCAGCGTACAACCGAAATATCTCGGCTCGTTTGTCAGCATTTGTCAGCGTCTTGCTTCACTGCGTCGTGTAAACTATGACGATCAGCACATTTCGAACTTTTGTGCGGTGTTCCACACTTATATTCGAGATAATAATAAAAATTGCTAAATCTGTAATCTATGCGCACCGTAGGGATTGAGGCAGCCACCTGCCTCAAAAAATTGAGCCTTGCGCCGAAACAAACAATGTGATGGCAGACCAAGGTTCTGATTTGAACTATTTGTCAGTACCAACTTCACATAACTCATGGGTGTGAGTGGCCCAAAGCTGTGGCTAAACTTGTTTATTGAAGGCGCACTTCCATCCCAAATGCGTAAATGACACCAAGTTTCGCAAAAGCACACAAGACTCCCTTTTTTCTGCAAGGAGTGTTAACCAGCTTGGTAGAAAAAACGGTAATTGTGTAGTCGCATAAATATAGAAAGCCAGCAGGAATGGTGGCGCAAATGTTACACACTCGATTTGCAGTTTTGCAGCGAGTAACAACGGATGGAAGCACTATATAAAGATATTTGGGGTCAAAAGCCCCGCCTCAATATACTTAAACAACATGAAAACATAGTTCGCATAATCTGGATCAGCTGGATTTTTACAATGCAACACATTAACGCCTGTATCCTAAGATTCCGCAAAGGGAACACACCATAATAGAGTCAACAACGAAGCTGAATAACAATGGGGAAATTGGACATACCTGACGAACGCCACTTGTTGTAGAAAAACTTCGATTAGGTCACGGAAGACCCTGATGTAGCCTGCGGTGTCCGAGCACAGAATACACCAACTTTTCACTTATTTGATAGGAACAAACCGTCGTGCAAGTGTTTCTAACATACTTGATCTACAGACTGAGTAAACCCACGTTTGAAGGAGAGAAACCCAGTGACCGTCGATCTGTGGTGCTTGTGGCGTTGTTCTATCACTTATCGCAGAGTGAACATGTTGTCTACACAGCCCCATCCGAGTGTAAACCTGCTTGCTATTCTTCAGTCTGCGATTTCCGTTCCGCAGTAGGACGACGAATGAGAACTATAGTCAGGAATTCTGTCACTAGCTGCAATAGGCTAATACCCCTATGGTCAGCACCATCGGTGCAAATGCACCTCTTGCAAACTGACACTATAACTGATTCATTCCAGTTAACTAGGATGGCCTCTTCCCTTCAGATCTGTTGGAAACTGAAAGTCAGTGCTTTCCATAGGATCTCAACACAGTTCATTTTTATCGCAAGAGCCAAGGGAATCCATGTCAGTTGCTATAAAACAAATAAGGGCTGTGATCAGATATCCAATGACACTCTCCTATATAGCCTAGAAACCATGCCACCCGAGTAAGAAGATGTCTAGGAGCAGGGGGCCAGCAGAAATTAGCTTGCAATTCCGTTGCATATGGAACAATACGGCGTTCCTTATTTTGAATCAGGACAGCCGTGTTGCCTCTAATTATCTTGTTAACGTCTGATTTCTGGAAGCAGCATTGCGGATCATCTGGAAGAGCTTGCGAAACGTTTATACTGCTCCTGCCTCTATTTTCAGAACCCGACTGCTCCACCTGGCTGTACCGTTTTAGTTCGCGCATATTAGTCTGTCTAGTTACTTTGTACTCAGAGACATCCAGGAGATTTTTGGAATCCAGCAAGTCCAACTATCTCCCGAATATAGGGTGCTATTTGCAGTAAAGAATGATGGTATCGGAAGCGGAAGCTCCCACGTTGTATGTAGCAGCCAAGATCCCATTTCACTTCACCGCAGTATCAATAGGACAAGGGAGTCAACGTTAGGTACGCAGGGCATCTTGGTATGCTCGTCCGATGAAGGATTGAGAGAAATGCTCACTTCGGAATCGAGACAGGCACTAGCTACGCCTCCCAACAACGTTTGTTGTAAAGTGACAGAACACAAAAAATGGTCAAAGCCAACACAAGTATTCCACCTCGAGCGGTGGAACCACACCGTCTATAGATTAAGGAAACGTGATCTACTTGGATCCAACGCTGGCTGGCTACAGAGAGACGCCAAATTGGTATTTTGGCTCAAGCTGTGCCTAACAGCTTCGCTGCTATAAACAGCCGGTTCTCGGCATCTAATTGCAACTGACATTCGATGCTGTCCCCACCGTCCGCGTTAAGTATATACCTATCACGGAATTAAGCTGCTGAAGAACTCAAGCGAACTACTTGTGTATTCATATCCGATGTACAAAAGACGGTGTCGGAGCCAGCGAAACTGTGTGCAAGTGCCTTTAGTTCTTGACAGAGGGCGTTGTGTGCAGCAACGAAACTGCAGTCGGCATGGGCACAAGCCAAAAAGATAAACAAAAATCGTCTATCACTACTTGTTAAACCAACCTTTAGCTGATACTGTCAAACGCATTGCACATAAACGGCTGCCCACGGGATTCCATCAGCCAATGAGAATTTGGCCTTCTAGCTAAGAAAAATGCCCCATCGGCTTGACTATAGTGTTTGCCGCATCATCATCTCCGGATGCGTGCAACCAATGGCGAGAGGACAGTTCCGGCAAAGTCAGTTCAACTAATCCGCGCTGCTCAATGATCCTAGTTTCGGATAACCAACACATGTCAGTACCCAGTGTGTCCAACATGTGTGCGACTTCAGCCAGTTGAGCTGTTTGTCCTTGAGTGGGAAAACTGACGCCGCCAGAGAAACGGGACAGTGTGGCCTTATTAGGGAATTTTGCCCATAGGCATCCAGAGGATGGTACGGGAAGATGTCTGCAAATGGTTCGACTCCACTGGCTGTACGACTGCTGTCAATTAAGCTGGTACTTGTAGAAGGAAGGTTAGTTATCTGGTCAGGAGGGTATGAAGCGAAATAAGTGGAAACGAATGAAGGGATGCGCAAGCAGTATCATGTTTTCACTTTTTCGCTCTGATATGTGCAACAGATAAGGCGACTCTTGAAAACCGGCGCGAAGGCCGATGCAGGATGTGGTTGAGTATTGGGGAAATAGTCTTTGTTGCACGTGGGCTGAGGTACTGACAGCATCCACGGACCTAGACAGAAGAAAGAATAGGCTCCTCAACTAAAGACTTTAGTTCAAAAACCTGTCCACAATGCAACTGGTGGGATGTGCTAGTTATTTTGCATAAATGAAAGCCATCCCATTTCCAACCCCCAAACTGGAGAACCAGCAGACTGAGTTTAGCTGACCTTTATCGACTGACCAACCTGCTAGGAGTAGCGCACAAAGGGACCGGGGCACCACCCAGCATTGCTCAATGGGTGGAACAGGTACGCAAGCTGTTGCACTACGACAAGGTCAGTCTCGTTTCAAGGAACCTGAATCGCAGTCACTGTGATGATGCTTATTTTCTTCTGGTTGTGCTAACTCATATTTATGAGGTAGAAGTAGTCTTGTTTCCCACTGGTTGTCTCCGAAACAAAGCGCGTTTGGTTTACTTCTTTGCAGGCGTCCTCTGAAGCAAGCGCAAGCGATCGAACGAAATCTAGAAGAGTTCCAGCTAGACCCCATAAATAGAACCAATTTTATCCATGGCGTCAGTCAGTTGCAGGAAAATTAGAAAGCAAATCAGGGGCTCACGACCAGGAGCAGTGACACTGTGTTCATGAGACCCTGGACTTTGCTACCGTTGCAGCCGCTTCCCTCTCAAGGCTGCCTAGCTCAGCCAGGTGAAAAAAGGTACACAACCTAGACACGCAAACCAAGCAGATAGCATAATTTCCA